CAGCAGGACCGGTGGGTCCCTCTGTTTAACCTGTGACGGGTGTCCCTGAGCACGACAGCTCCGCGGAATTAACACCAAGGAACCAGGTGTCCCCACTACCGGCTCTAAAAAAAAAGCTTCAGTCTGATGGCAGCATCTTTCTGGCCTCTGCTCGTTCTCGACATACGCACATCTCGGGAACAATCCTTCAGAATAGCTGATCGACCGTCTGCTGTCAGCTGCAGCACATTTCACGTGTCAGAGACTGAGAGAGAACAGATAAACAGAAATTGAGGGAGGCTTTCTGTTTATTTCTCTGAACTGTGGAAGAATTAGAATTTTTCATCAGTGCTAAATTGGAGGAGACAGGATCCAAAACGAGAGACGCTAGCGGCACGAAAACAAACTGTATTAAGAAATATGAACAGGGAAAATAAATCACAATATAAAAAACCATAGGTACAGAGTTGCTGCGCTGCCGTGCTCAGACGTACAGTTTACTCCAAGCAAACGCTCCGGGAGCCACGGAGCTGCAGCTGAGGCGTTCGCGCCGTAACGGGCCAGGACGGATCCATCCCCGTGCTCAAGGCTGGGCCACGGTCCCGCGCTCTCCTGGAGCAGAGCCGTCGGTGCCGAGGGCTCCCCTGCACCTCAGGCCCGGCGGTGCGCTGGGCACGGAGAACCGCGAGGAAGGAGAAATGAGAGGTTGGCCATCGCCGCATCCCTCCCCTGCCCCGCCGGCCCAGGGCCAGCAGCGCTCCCTCCATCCCCAGAGCCAGGTTTGGGATCCGTACAGCGAGGTTTATGCAAAGCTGAGATGAACCGCAGCTGAACGAGCTGGGGTGCAGACACCAGGGCAAGGAGGGCTTCTCTTTGAGATGCCCGGGGTGCCCGGAGACATCCGCGGGGCTTGCAGACCCAGACTGCTCCGGAGAGGCTGCTGGAGACCAGGCTGGACACCCCGAGCATCTCCCAGGACACCCACATGTGTGTGCCCGAATTATTCCCCTACCTGTGGGCACGGTGAGCTGCCTTGGGGTGGGGGGGGGAGACAGGAGTGGTCCCCCACTTTTTGAAAGAGAGATGCTGAAAATGTGGGGTCCTGGATGGAGGGATGCTCTATCGCCCACACATCCTTGCCCCAGCCCACCCGCTGGGTCTCGCCTTGTTCTCACCCTTGGAAATAGCTGTTTCTGGAGAGATCCCTGCAGGATTTATCCTGGCCCAGACCACGGCAGCCCAGGCACTACAACCGAGGGCTCAGGACAGCCGCAGGCCTG